TTGTGACTTTTTTTCACAGACCCATGTTGAAAAATGATTAAATTGATATTACTTTTGGGCTATTTTTTCTGTTATCTCACACTTTTCTTGTTAATTTTTGTTTTTTTTTTCCTCCCCTTTCCCCCATGCTCTCTCTTCTTTTCCTCTCTCTCTCTCTCTCTCTCTCTCTCTCTCTCTCTCTCTCTCTCTCTCTCTCTCTCTCTCTCTCTCTCTCTCTCTCTCTCTCCCTCCCCCTCTCCCTCTCTCTTTCTCTCTCCCTCTCCCTCTCTCTTTCTCTCTCCCTCTCCCTCTCTCTTTCTCTCTCCCTCTCTCTCTCTCTTTCTCTCTCCCTCTCCCTCTCTCTTTCTCCCTCTCCTTCTCCCTCTCCCTCTCCCTCTCCCTCTCCCTCTCCCTCTCTCGCTCTCTCTCTCTCTCTCGCTAGTTAATTAAATAGATAGATAAAAAACATACATATGTATATATGGCATGACAATAAAGTGTACAACAAAAGCGAGAAGTAACAGTAAGTATAATGAATTAGGGACTCCCCCCCCCCCCTCCAATTCCTTGCTCGTTGATGTCGTGGGGGGGGGGGGGGTCTCTGGAGACGGAGACAGGCTCTCTTTCCTGTATCTTCTCCATCTTTTCTTTCTTCTTCTGCCCCCCCCCCCCAATCCCTTGCCCGTTGTTGTCGTGGGGGGGCTTAGGAGGCGGAGACTGGGACCCAATGATGGGGAACTCCCCAACCTTGGGACTCAGCCCTCGACTCAACTAATTATGCATGGTCTTTTTTTCCCTTCCCACTTTTGTTTCTGTCCCTTCACCAAACCCTTCTGCTATCCACCTCCTAAGGTGTGAGAGCCGTGCTGAAAGGATGAAAGGCTGACTTTGTGCCAGTCCTGAACGGCCTGAGGGAGCCATGGGCACGGTATTCCCCTGATTTAGTTATCTAGCCCTTACCCCTCAAGGGGACCCTGAGGGGTGGACTGCTTTTATCCCCAACATAATCCAGGCTTCCCATGGCCAGTAATGAAAATATATCCCCACTGTTAGGGGCAATGAGGCTTGCCCCTTTATCAAATAGCCCCAACGAAGTAAACCCACCCGATTCCCCGACCCCAGGCTCTCCTTTGACCACGGCTCCAAACACTGCAATAACTACCCCTTCACCAATGCCTACTAGTACAGTAGCCAACAATCAACCCTCAAGGGACATTTCCACTCTCCCAGCATGCCCAACTTCAACACCTCTACCCCCACAACCTCCAACATCAACCACCCCATCCTCCCATATTAATACCTTACAGCCTTATAGCCCACCTCTCCATAACACTACCTCCATCAACACAACTCCATCTTCGTCACGCCCTCGCCCTTCTACCACCCCTATCTCTAAAACAATCTTGAATACTCTCTTCAGTGCAGCCAAATGGGACCGATTTTTCGTGATCCCTCCCACAGCTCCCTACTCTAACAACACCCTTCTCTTCCAACAATGCCTCCAAAAACAAGTAGGTAAAGTCTCTTTCCGTAGCCGACCCGACCGCTCCCGTCTTGTAACAGTAACATCCGAAAACCAAGCCATAGCACTAACAAAACTAACTGACCTATATGGTAACCCCATCCTAGCAGAACCCCATCCAACCCTCAATACTTGCACCGGAACAGTCTCAATCTCACCAACAAATTGCCCAATCTATGACAAAGAATGGTCAGATTGTGGAGAAGATCTACTTGCCTGTCTCACAGACTACGATGCAACATCAGTACAATGCTATTCCATCCCCCCCAGAGGTCATCGAAAGAAACCCACTAACATAGCCAAAATTACCTTCCGTAGACATGACCTTCCCTTTAACGTCTACATAGGAGGAGAATCCCTCCCTGTTCGTCCATACCAACCTCCTCCACGTCAGTGCCAAAATTGTTGGCGTCTAGGACACCCAGCCAAACACTGCCGTTCCACAGCCAGATGCCCATTATGTGCCCAACCTGGCCATACCCGATCTAACTGCTCTGCACAATCACGCACATGTGCCAACTGTGGCGGCCCCCATAATGTATTTTATAGGGGCTGTCCCACCTACAAATTTGAATCTGAGGTAGCAACTCTCAGATTCAAACTCGGACTCACACTGCGTGAAGCCAGACAGGAAGCACGTCGACGTGGATTCTCTCTTACTCCTTACTCCAGTAATACTGCTCATCCTAACACTTCTCCTAAACCCACCCCTCCTACATCTAACCCCCCCACTAACCCCACCTACCTTCCCCAGTCAAACTCTTTTGCCATCCTAAATCCAGAAACTCCAATCTCTACTACAGATACTCCAATCACCACTACAACCCCAACACCTTCCCCTCTCCCTCCTCGCACTCCCCGTAACAGACAGAACAAACGTTCCACCCCCTCTTCCCCTACCACACAATCACCCCCACCATCCTTTGCCCGTACTCTTGAGACACCAGTCCTCTCTTCCCCCCCTCACAAGAAATCCTTTATCCCCCAAAACTCCCCAACCAACTCCACAGAAGAAACTATTGAAAATATTCAAGATTACTTAATGAAAACCGACACTCAACCTACAACTCCTGCTCCTTCCACACTCCAAGTAATTGCTGATATCCATCCTCCTCCTAACGATATCCCCCCTACACCCTACCCTCCTACCCCCTCCCAACACAGCCCATCCCCCCTGACCCTGCCCACATTAACTCTCCCACCATCCCCTCTATCCCTTCCACTCCCTCCTGGATACACACGTGAATCCCTTATGTCACAAGTATCCCCTTCCTCAGACCCTCCATCTCCTACTACCCCTCCTGATAGAACACCAACTCCCACACCTCTCCCATCTCAAACCTCTCAGTCCTTATCCCACCCTCTAGCTGCTTCCCCTTCAAATTCTCCAACACGTACTACAATCTATATCACTAAATCAACGAAAGTATAACTATCCTTCATTGGAATATTCGCGGTTTCCGCTCCCACAGACCTGACCATCATATCCTTTCCTCTTATAACCCATCTATTGTATGCCTTCAAGAAACCTTTCTTATGCATACCCTTTATCTAATATAACACCTGACCTTAACCCTTTCACTCACTAATTCCTTTGCCCAGCTTAGACAACTAATCACTAACTCAACCACCCTTCACTAACATTAACTATAGTGCTACATGACCTTAGATGTCTAGCACATTTATCTTGCTTTTAACCATTAACCATTAACCATTCTTCTTCTGCCCACTTATTCTAATCGTAAACAAATTTTTACCATTTGCACCACAATAATGCTGTACTTGGGGGGGGGGGGGGGCTACCCTATGCGATCAAATCCCTCGCCGCCAGTGGATGGCAACCCCGGCCATTCCTTATACACAGGGGAGTAATTCAGAAGCAAAATAATATAGATTGCATGGCACACCAAGAATATATATTGAAACAGCGAGTCGAAAGGGAAGGCTGGATACCCTGATTGGCATTTTTGTTTCTTGCTTTTTATTTTTCATTTATATTATTTTTTTTTCCTTTCTCAACGGGGAGTTTTATTGCAGTCACCAATAGGCAAAATATGCTTACACTCGTAGAAAGATTGTGAGTGACAGAAAACAACAATTCGATAAAAAAAAAAAAAAAAATTCGAAAAGACGGGGAAACTGTTCTATAATTTACATTGTATTGTATGTATGTAATTTTTAGTATGTTTTCGACTCAAAGTAACAGATGAATAGATAGATTTACTTCAGTGGTTCCCAAGTAAAAAAAAGAAAGAAAGAAAAAAAAGCTCCCCAGTCTGTTTCACAATGTGTATAGGCTTGTATTATATATATTTTTTCTAAGTGTTGGCAGTAAAAGTAAGGGAAAGTATAGTAAGTATTCGAGTCAGAAAAGTGAAATAAAAATTGAAAAGTTGGAAAAAAAACAAAATCACATCATAGAATTATAGTATTCGAGATTTAAAGGTCCATCATTAATCAAAACACCCACTTCTGAAATGATATGGTCTTATTTCACAAAGACAAAACCAAAAATGTAAAAATAAATGAAGACTAGTGCATTTAAACAATTGTAATAATCAAGCAAAATTTAGCCATTAACCCTCAACCAAGATGTGACTAACGTACATCGTGAAAACATCCCAAAACTGAAAACTGACGTCTCATACATTGAGGCATTAGCGACGTCTGGAAAAACGAGTGATCTGTATTTTTTTCAAAGTCGCTTTTACGTGCAGGTAATCATACCATTAATGCTTATAAAAAGGATATATATATATATATATATATATATATATATATATATATATATATATATATATATATATATATATATATATATATTTTTTTTTTTTTTTTTTCCTTTTTTTTAGAATTAGGTGATATTGCAAAATTTGAAGAAGTAATAAAATATTGATGAAATATTTGGCTATTTGGATGAGCAAAATAATTGGCTTTTTACGAATAATGGGAATTAGTGCTTTTAGCCTAGTAAACTTCATGCTTATATTCTCCTTATCTTTTAAAAGATTCTTCGCTTGTTCTGCTAATAATACGATAATCCAAATGGGAATGAAGTCGCACAGGCTTGATATTAATAGATAAGACAGTCAACGTAGTTCATCAGTTCTTTTTCCGTCTCTCTATACCCGCATTTGTTTTATTTATTTATTTTTTAACTGTTTAAGAAACTGTTAATCCGTTGTATTTGTTATGATTCCCAGCTATTTATTCATGGGTTTAAAGTTTGATTTATCACTGGATGACCACTGTCCCTGCAACATTCACGTGGCAGTTGACTGTTCAATTGGTTATCAATTATCAATTAATTTATTTATATATTATTTAAATCCCACATTGATTATCAAGATAATAATTACGTTTTTTTTTCATCTTGGAAGTTTCCCTGTAGCCAAATTTGATATAGTGGCTCAACAGCTAATGACTTAATCATCATGATCAGTAACGTACCATATAACCATAAGAGTAGTTTTCTATATTATATTGGTCACAGTCAGCT